GGGCCGCGGGAGCTGCGGAGGGCCGAGCCCTCGGAGCGGCGCGGCGCGGGGGGCCAGCCCTCGCGCCCCCGGGGGCTCCGCACTGCGCGGGAAGGGGGAACCCGCGGGGGAGGGAGGCCCTTGCCGGCCGCTAGGAGACTTAGCTGGCTCCTAGACGCCAGCTCCTGCCATTGGGCTCAGCAGCTGTCGAGCCTGGTTACTCACAGCAGAGCTGTACGGGCCGGCCCTGGCCTCCCAGCACCGGCCTCCTGGCTACAGCACTGCACTGGGCTTCCCAGGATCCCACCTCCGGGGTCCCCCAGTCCAGCACAGATGCAGGATTTGTCCTGCCTAAAACAAGAGATCTTGATTCTGCTCCTTACCTCTGCTATTACCGACTACAGCTAGGTCACATTAGGCATGCCATTTCTCCTCCCCTGCCTCAGTTTCCCCCTCTGTGCAAGTCCTTTGTGAACGACTGAGCTCTTGTGAGCTGGACCTCACTTCATCAGATGCAAGGTGCAAATCTACCTTGCCTTCTCGGGCTAACAAGGCTAACCACTTCTCTCTGAAGGACACTCTTAACACAGAGGCTTTAGACCTGCTTCTCTCATTATGGATAAGAATCCCATCAATTTGAGTGAAAAGAGGACAGGGCCTTACATTTAAAATGCTGAGTTGTGCTTAGGTCCTGACCCTGTATTCACTTAAGCACCCATGAGATGTAAATGGGATTAATCATGTGACTAAAGTTACATAGGTGCTTAGTCTGCAGGTCCAGGAATTTAGCTTAGGAATATTGAGGCCAGGGATGCATGTTAGCTTATACAAAAGATCTTGTGATGTCATTAGCTTGATTACTTTTGGTATTATTACAGCTATACCCAATGGACCCAGTAGGGTTTAGGCTCTATCTAAGCACCAAAACATCTCATCCCCACTTCAAAAATACTGAAACAACTAAAATATATTTCTTAGGATGCACAGGAATGATTAATTTAGCAAGAAAAGAAATTAAATTAAAATACATTTTTATTATAACTGAAGTCCATGGTTTTAAGCATGGTTTGAAGTCTAAGGCTTTTATAGTTTCATAGTTTCTAGGGTCAGAAGGGACCTGAGAAGATCATCTAGTCCGACCCCCTGCCATGGCAGGAAAGAGTACTGGGGTCAAACGACCCCATCAAAGTGTTCATCCAACCTCTTCTTAAAAACCCCCAGGGTAGCAGCTTGCACCACCTCCCTTGGAAGTTGGTTCCAGACCCTAGCCGCCCTGACCGTGAAATAGCGCCTTCTGATGTCTAACCTAAACCTACCCTCTGCCAGCTTGTGACCGTTATTCCTGGTCACTCGTGGCTGTGCGCGGGGGAACAGTGACTCCCCCAATGCCTTCTGATCCCCCCTGACCAGTTTGTAACAGGCCATAAGATCCCCCCTCAGCCTTCTCTTGTGGAGGCTGAACAGGTTCAGGTCCCGTAGTCTCTCCTCATAGGGCCTGCCCTGCAGTCCCCTGATCATGCGAGTGGCCCTCCTCTGGACCCTCTCCATGCTGTCC